GGAAATATTCAGTTAACCTAGCACTGGTACAGAAGGTTTTACGTGTCAGACGCTGTAATTGCACATGGTCAGTTTTTTGCGTGACGAAAGACTGGTTTAGATTGCACTTTTCCCATTTCAGCATTTTCAAAAATCATTATTTTGGTCATTTACAGTTCACAGCGGCACAGCCAAAGCCTTGTCTGGGACAATTTAAGGAGTCTGGGAGGGCTAAGACAAAGCCCTCTGTAATGTTTGTGTCTGAGGGACAGAGTCAAACATGTAAGCTGAAGTAAAAAATTACCTGGTTATGAATTAACTGATCGTTAGTCACCTATCCAACCATGTCTGAGTGTTTTATCATTGAATATAGAGAAAACAGTTCCCATTACATTATTTTGAAAAACACATGCAATCATGATGACAGAAACTGTGTGGACATCAATCGAGTGGAACTGGTGGAGTCCTGTGAGAATGACAACTGGCCTGTAAAATGTAATTGTGTTAAGCATTAAATTAAGTATAGCTAGTAACTGGAAATCTACTAAAGGCTGTCATACAAGTTTGGCTGGTTTTCCGAGGTTACATTGTTCCTCTGTAGGTTCAACATACTGCACACACTGGATACAGTTAAACTAAAAACAATCTGGTAAACAATTGAACTACCCTATTATAAATGTCCCTAATTTCAAGCTGTACACCCCTTTGCTCCATGTGCATAGATAAAGTTATATAAAACGTGAGCTGCAGTTATAACCTCAGGTTCATCATAACACTTCAAGGGTAAAATGGCGTCATTTTTATCAAGCCGAACGTGTTTTGATGTGATCTTTGCGTCACCTGAAAGCTACAAAGCTCGCATACATAGCACAGCAAGTATTCACACCATAACTGGGGGTTCACAAGGACGTTTTGACCAGGTGGTGATGATATGTTGGCACCGCTAGCATGAGGCTATGCTATGCTATGTGACAGGTATAGCTTTTCTGTTATGTAACGTCAAAGGGCACCGCATACAGCCTGACCAGTCTTGTGACTGCGCCACGTCCAGCCAACTTTCAGCCTTGAGTTACACAGAGTCAGGTTTTACATAGTGAACAATAGAGAACATAACGTTATTTGCATCACGAATGGGACATAGTTACCATGCTAACGGTAGCTATCAGGCGTTAGCAAACAGCTGTGCCACTGATGTTGCATTGTCACGGCAACAACGTTAACTAGATTTTTCCTTTAAAATGTTAAAATCAAACACAAACGTTGGCCCGAGCTTCAACCCAACCGTAGGCTTTAGTGTTAGCATTAAATCACCTGAAGGACACTGAAAGAAACAGATGATAGATTGGTCAGATCGTGCTATGCTAACACGAGCTAGCTCCTGTTAGCATGCTAGCGGGTGAGTTTTTAAACCTGAAAACATGTTAGATAAACGAGTCATTTTTACATGGTTTCATACAGGGTTTTCAAATAAGATACATGGCTAAAACACAACGTCGGCGGTACCTCTTCGTGTTTCATTTATCAGAGAGTTATTTATAACATTACTCCGGTTACTAGCTACTCCGGTTACTAGCGGTATGTGACTTACCCCCCGGCGAAGAGATTCAGCAGCGTGTCTTTCTGTGCCATCTTTTTCCTCTCACACAGCCACCATAGTGGAGTTATATATCGGGTTAAATAAGCGTCTGTATCAAAGGAAGGTTTAAGATCCGGGTGTGCTGCCGTTCACCTATCTCTCTGTACCGGCTCGGCGGACCTGTCAGCGGAGGCAGCGGCGGCGGGGTGACCTACTCCCGGTTTACGTCACAGGAGGGCCGGACGGGGGCGTTGTCCGTGACGGAGGGACATGTGCTCAGATCCTTGCGGTTGTTTAAAATTATGTTGCACAATTATTATCTGCGAAAATAAAAGGTTCAAATAAAAACAACAGGAGGACAACAAGTTGTGTCATTGATTGAGTTGACTCACTGTTTCAAGTGTTATCATGTTATGTCGATACAAAACACAAATCTTCATTCACAACACTATTCTTACAATGAATTCTTATTTTTTTACATTACATAATCATTTAGTATGTTTTTCTTTGCACGACTAGTAGGCTATAGTTTACACATTTCAGAACACTTGACTTGTACATAGACTTTTTATTTTATTGTTAGTCATTGATGCTTTGTAATATAGATATATTGTATACAAACCAGTAAACATATTAGTTGTGTCTTTATTCATCAACAAAGACCTCAACAAAGACCTTGTTTCATTTGTCTATTTCTGCATGTACATTAAAAGCAATGCAAAATGTGTCAAATTCCTTGTATGTACACATTCTGATTCTGATAATTTATTACAACACTATTCTAACTTGTCTAGTGACTTTAATATTAATGACTTCTAATAAGAATGTGCCATATCTTGTATCTTGATGCAAATATACATTTTTACATTACATGTCACTTGTTAAACGCTTTTATCCAAAGCGACTTACACACATTCAGTACTGTGGACAATCCCCACAGGAGCAATTTGGGGTGAAGTGACTCGTCCAGGGACACAACATGCTGACTTCGAAGTCCAACACACTATCCACTGAGCCACAGCCTCCCTCCACATTTGATAAACCGTCTCATCAGCCAAAACATTTCCATCAGATCAGTTATCACATCTTGCTGTTAGTAGTTGCTTTATCAGCTTTACACGCCGTCCAACTCTTGGTCTACCTGTAATAATGTTGTTCCTCTGATAAGAAAGGGACATAGGTCGATAAACACAAATCTAGAACAATAACCCATACTTTTTTTTAGCAGGGCAACAAAGACCTTGGAGAAGAAATATGACTCCAAGCCTGTTAACTGTGCCATTATGAACATGTGATGTTATGGTATGTTGTGTGAACCAATGAGCGGTGTGCAATTAAAGTTGGTATGCAACTCTTTAACCCTGATATCTAGGCTTTAAATCTACAAGAAGTCACTATCACCTTGTTTGTCTTTTTTATCCGTGTTATGTCAAAAGAGTCTCGCCAAACCATCCGCGCTTGCTTTATGCACTATTTGAAATCATAACATGTTTTTCATCCTGAGTTGACATTCATTCTGTTATTTACATGTAAACAAAGTGGGTGTGAGCAATGAAGTGCATTTCACAAATTGCACGATTAGGTGTGGGTGTCTCGCCAAGATGAACGCTTTGTCATTGAATGCAACACAGCGGTTAAAACTGAGAACACTTACATAAGCACTTAGCCTAAATACAATATTGAGATATTTGTACTTCATTTAAGTATTTGTTTTTTATCTTACTTCACACATGTATACTCCACTATATTTCAGAATGTCTATACTAGTTCTGGTTACTTATAAAATGTTCACATATAAAAACATATTGGTGTGGTTATGAAAAATGATATATTTGAATATATAACACTAAACCAGGGAATCCCAACCTTTTGGATCCCAAGACAAAATATACAAAATGTGTGTCTGGTAATAGTTTCTTGTCACAATTCAGATGTTGCAGTTAAATCAATGAGACATTTCCCTTCTTAATGTCTTAGATGATTTCACTTCAAACCTGTTTGAGACTCAAGAGGAAATAGTATCTAGTTTCAGTGTGAATTCTAAACTGTCTAAAATGTTTGGAGACTTTGTTTTTCCTCCTCCATTAATAATCCCATGACCTACCTCCTGCAGCTACAGCTGTAAATGCTTCTTAAACATTTATGCATCAGTATAAACATCAACAACCACAACAACTGATCTCCTAATTTCATTTATAATAATTGAATAATTCACAAGGGAAACTTCTGAGCAGAACACGTTGTTTTGTTGATACCAGTACATTTTTCTGATATGTATCAAAAATAATCTTGAATGCAGGATCTGAATACTAGTTAAACTGCTGATTATCAGTCACATTGGGATTTATGTTGCTCATGCTCAACAATGAGACTGAGATCTTCACTTGTTCATGAAGTTGTGTGAAAATTGCAAATGCTGACACCAAGTGACCAAACATGATATACATTTTTTTTTTTAAATAATGTAGTTGTTTCCTTTAACATCGTTAGGTTGCAGCTGCAATTTAGATCCTTTTTGGGGGCTTCTGAAAACTCTTGAGTTTCCTTTATCAGCTGCTGAACATGACGTACATCTGTACAAGCAAATACACTTAGCTGAACCTAATCCTGTGCCTCATATTGAAAGCTAAACCATTACAAGGATTAAAGTGTCTCAGCTTCTGTATCAGTGAAACTGTCATAGTTGGAGACACTAATCCCCCCCTGCCCCTCACTCACCTCCCTGCCCCATTTGATATTGGTTTCCCTCAGTGCTTGTATCGTGTATATTTAAAAGCATCTCTCTCTCTCAGGTTTAAAGTGTGAGGCTCTTTTTTTTTCTTTGCTTGCAATTTAGTGTAACCCAATGTAACATAATATTCCAACAAGTTTATTTAGGTGGTGATTATTTTGTTTTTGAGGAAATATTTTGTGGCAGCAAGTAGAGGAAACACTTTGAAGCAGGAGACATTTCTCACCAGAATCTAACCGACTTTTAGACAGGAAGGAGTTACCTTCTGGAAATATAATTTAAAGGGGGCCCTGTACTATTTATGGAGGGAACTGTAGGGATCAAAGGATTTGGTTACTGAAAGCTAATGTTCCACATTGACTGGCTGGTGAAACTAAAATGTGTTGAGTTTTTTTAATTTGTATGAACACATTTTAAGAGTGGATTATGATGTTTGCATGGTAAATACAGTGTTTGTGTGAGAGTTTAGATAGATCATTTCAAAAGGACTTCAAAATAATTTGTTGGTAACCATTGTCGCATATAGTGTATCAAATGAATTCAATGTAATATGACTGCAAATGATGCCTTTATTTTATCAGAATAATTCTGCTGAAACCATCATTTGCATAAATTAATTATATTGCCAAATTATACAACTAAAATGTTGGCTTTCCCCTATAGCTTGTTGACATTTCTCACAGTAGATTTCTGTAGAATGCACAATACACAACATAAACTTTGAAATAAACTTTAATAGATACTTACAAACAAATCTACAACAAGGAATACAAATAAAATGGAAGCAGCAAGCAAGGAAAATAAAGTGTGGCGCAGTGTGTCCGCATCCAGCTGAGTGCTGAATAAGGACCCGACCTCCACATTTAAAAAATACTAATAAACAGGTCTATGGCATCTGACAATCTGATCTTTTATTACATTTGTGCAGCACTTTGTGCGGATTGTCTTTTTCTGTCGTCATGGTGCCCTAAATCTGAAGTTTGGAGATTCAGGCACATTAGCCATTTACCTACATTGTCTGTTTCCCAAACCCCCTTTACACAACACAAACACTACATCAATGGTTCTCAGCTATGTGCCTTTGAGACCCAAGAGTAGCAGGTTTTCATTACAAAGAACCACTTCAGTGGACATTTCATTGGTTAGTTTCCACTCTCTGGCTGAATATGTGCAAACCAGTGAAATCAGCTGATGGAGAGACTGGTTGAATTAAAAAACATTAACATCTGCACTCTTGGGCCCGTTCAGCATGTGGTTGAAATCTACTGCACTACAAGAAGCAGGAGTGACCGATTAAAAAAAAAGACGTGATTGTAATGAGAAATATTTCCTGCAGATGCATGCTACAAATAATCACAGTGACATTATCCTTCTGTTAAAATTTCTGCTGATGTTGTTCCTGTCAGATGCATTGATGCTAAGCACACTTCCACATTAGAGAGGCCTTACAATGCAGTGGGAGTCGGAGCTGCTCTTCAGCTGCCTCACAGTGCATTCATCCACACTGCACTACAGACTCACTATGGGGTGATCAGTATCTCCAGTCTGTGTTCCACAATTTAATCTAGTATTCATTTAAAAAAACAAAAAGATAATTTCTACAAGCAACTACGATTTCATGTTATAATTCTCAATGTGAGAGGTTGACGTGTGTGTGCTGCCACCTTGTGGTCAGATGCTGTCAGTTCAGTTCAGTTCTGCACCAACTCCAAAAGTTTGATTTCCATCACACAATTTAAGCTAAATCAATAACAATTTAAAAAGGCTACAATATATAAACTCATAATCTTTAAGCCTAGGGGACAAAGAAGAGATACCGACCTCATGTGCCACATCAACCTAAAAACTAAGAGGTACACCAACATGGTGACTGTCAGGGCATCGTCTGGATCAGCATGTGCATAGTGCTCAGTGATTCCTGATTTGATAAAGTTAGAGAATACAATTGCAAAGAGTCATAAAAACAGCATAAGAAACTCAAACGGTGTCCAAGACACAGAAGCATACTTGAAGGCTGAGTCAGTCTTTGAGGCTTGAGCAATGTTGTCAAACGGGTTTAACCCCAGAAGGATCCCAGAGAAACAGGAGAAGGAGATGAGGGTGTGCTGAGGGAGTGTGACTGTCTGCGGCGTCATTGGTAGAGCAGGTAGTTCTTGAGAGACTCTGGCAGGGGCAATCTATGGATTTCACCCAGGCGCTCTTTTCCTAATGCCACCCTCACCGAACGCCTACACAGGTCCATCAGAGAGAGGGGTTCAGCTGCAGGGAGACAAGAGGGTGAGAGGGGTGAGAGCATGTTTGGTGTGTTAGAAAGCAGTGTGTATATGTGAATATCCTTTGTTTACTTCTGTAACATCATTACATCACTATGCAACACTCACGCTTCTATTGGCTGCACTCTTACATATTGTACAAGGGGTGGGACATCTGTTAAGCGGTTGACAAAAGTATAAATGAGCTGGCCAGCTAACCAATCAGAGCAGACTGGGCTCTGGTTTTAGACCGAGGTTGAAGAGAGGTATGCAGCACAGGCAATATGAGAAAAAAACAAAAATCTTTTTGAACATTAAAGTGTGTAAACATGTCAAAGTAGAAGCAAAAATACAATTATGAAATCTGAAAATAAGCATAATAGGGCCCATTAAGTAACCTAAAAGAAAGGACTACATCATTGGATTTTTGTAATACTTTCACCACTTCAACCCTTTTGACATGGAACTTAAGGGATATGCACCAAGCCTAAAAATAAGCCTCCAAACTCCATTGACGAAAACAGTCATTTCACCTTGTGAGTAACTCTGTGACGTCATTACAAACTCATTCATTCCGAGAGATCAAATCTTTTTTTTTGACAAAAAAATGAGTCAGAGTGGTGATTTCAGTTCTCCGTCTGAGATGGATGTCTGACAGTAAATATTATAAACAGAATACACTTCAAGGTGGGGTAGGTAATTTTGGAGAAACCTGCTCGAGTGCGCTAGAATTTGAAAATACACAACCGGAAAAAATCTGCCACTTCCTCATAGAGCCCCTCCTCCAACACACACGAACGCGCACGTGACCAATGAGGGCACGAGATAAGTTTGTGCACAGATGGAAGGCTGACAGGCAGGTAGGCCATCCAGTTATTTTAGCCGGGCCGGCTAAAATGATTGGTCGTGCTTTTTACAGTACTACGGCTTCCACAGATGACATTTCTTTATGGATTTTTTGTCAAAGCACTTAAGATATTCATTGCTATCGGGATGTTAAGAGCATTCCATGGAATATAACAAAAAGTGTATCTCGAGCCGGTTTCTCAAACTTACCTACCCCACCTTTAAACTGATCTTGATCTTTTCTTTAGGTGGCTAAAGTATGTTTTGCTGCTGCCCTTTAACACTTTGTGTCTGGTTGCATGCTGACGTCATCTACTGTAGGCAATACACCGACTATAGATAAGTACCTCCTACCACCTCACTTCAAAGTACAAAACCAGAGCTTTTCACTGACAAAAGTGAGAGGACTGCGTATAAAGTACACAAGAAGAAAAAAAAAGAAGAAAAAAAGGGAGCACAGAGGATGCTTGGCCTCCAATCAAAATTCGAATGAAATAGCATTATAACCCTTGTCATTCATGTTCATGATTAATCACATTGGGACATAAATTCAGTTTTGTGTAATACGACCCTATTCAATTACGATATTACATTGAAGCAATTTTTGCTTTGAAAGACGGAAAGAAAGTTGAAGGTTAAAAATAAGTAAAATAAAAAACGTATTGGCCTGGGTTATGTGGAGGAAGGATATCCAAAGGGGAAGGTCACAGTGATGTGAAATCCATTCTGAAGTATTGAAATGGACCAAACCTCCTAGAGGTCTTATTAACAACACATCTGAATGAGTGCTTTGAATCTCTCCCTCCTGTTATGAGTAAGTATTAGGATGATATATTACATGTAATTTAGCAAATGTCTTTATTGTAGTTTACAAAGATTTAAACTTGAGGTACTTTGCTCTATAGTTCTGTTATTTGTACAAATTAAAATCATTTGTCATTAAAAATATATTTCTCATTTTGTACTGCTCGTCAGCAAACATTGTGATGTATATTTAGGTTTTCCATTGCAGTGCGATATGAGTGTCAGTATCTGTGCAAAAACACCATCTGACTTTGAGGAATATGTCATTTTGTTTTGCACTTTTAATGTAATAAGCAAACAAATTATTTAGCTGAATAGCTACATTTGGAGAGATGAATGGCCTTTATGATCAGGGTTTCCCCCTCGCTGCAACAGTAAGAGCGAGGAATGTCATATCAAATTGGATCTGGCTTTTATGCAAATCTCTGCATCTGTAGAGCTTCTTTTCCATAGGCCTAAAGTAGGTCGAGGGATCTGAGCTGAACATAAAAATCTAATGAGCACATAGCACTTGGGACATGCGGGTAGTAGAACATGTGTTCATGAGAACCTATGTCTCATTTAAAGCTCATAACCCTTTTACCATTAAACAATTGCCATTGATCAAATAAAAAATAATGCTGCCTTTGTCTTGGGGAAATTCAAGTTGCTTGTATGTTTTCTTCCATATAAAATAAAGATGATTTGATGTTTTTAAAGACATAAAACACTGACCGAGGCATCATACCCAAGTTTAAAATCCCCAAGACAAAGTACAGTTGATAGCTAAATCAATGGCAAGTTACAGTCTGAGATATATCTGTTATCTCCTTACTAAAATCAGGTCGGTGACATCATTCTCATGTGAGAAAAAGATTAATCATAGAACAGTTACATATTAATGATATGTAATCTGGACTGTCAGCCAATAATACAAATATGTCACATTTACAACTTCAGCCATACTGATTTAAATCTGCTCTACAGTAACCTTCTGCAGATACACGTCCTGCTTCGACAGTATGGCAAACCATAAACTGTCCACCTTTGTTTTTTTACATCAATACATTCAGCCAGTGGTTGTTAATGAGTTGGACACAATCACAACTGGGACCAAGTCGTTGTTTTGCAAGTCACAAGTAAATCTTTGCAGGTCCCAAGTCATGTATTGAATGCTAAACCTTTCCAGTGTTCACACATTTTGACCCACACATTTTCAACACTGCATTTTGTAAAGTCCACAGCTTTGGTAAACACGTATTGCAAAACACTCCCGCTAATGAAATAAAAGAAAATGTTAAAACAGTGAAAGTTTATACTTACGATCGAGTCCATTTATGTACCGGATTCTTATTTCACAGTGTCCCCACACGGCGCTCACCACTGGGTACAGCTTCCTGCCCTTTAGTCCTCTGAATGCCACCCCTAGATAATGTCCATCCACTATGTAACCCAGCGTCCCCTCATCCATGTCCAAGACTACTAAAAGGGAGTCTGGTATTATGAAGGTGTCGTCTGGCTCGAGGAAGGCCGGGTAGGTTTTTCCTGGGTGATTCTTGCCGTCGTGGTAGAGTTTACTCCGGCACAGGTCCCAGCCCCAGGACTCGGCGTTGCTTCCTACCAAGGCTGTGTAGCCCACCGAGTGTAGCAGGGCCTCGCTCGTAGCCACTCCCACCACAGCGTGCGTGCCCCTCTGGCGCATAGCCCAGCTGATCTCCCACACATGCAGTCCCCGTGTGTAGCCAACGCAGCCTCGGATGGCGTCCGTGCTCTGCGCCACAGGGTGTCTGTGAAACACCAGCTTGTTGTCGTCTTTCACGAAGATGTTAAGCGAGCGGTCGTCGTTGTTCCACGAGTGCTGACCCTGGACGTCCCCGCTGGCCGGCGGCATGTCCAGCAGCAGGTCCAGACGAGACGGCTTGGTGTGACTCAGGGCCTGCAGCTCCAGCTTCAGGGGGCTGAACGCCGGGTCCCGCATATCAATGGTTTTGATGCCACCTGGGACTTTTTGCCCCATGCTCTGGATGGTTATAGCAGCACCCTCTTCCTCCGCCCCTTCCTCCGCCGCCTCCTCCTCTTCCTCCGCCCTCCTCAAAGACTAATGGGGGGAGTAATCAGACACAGACCCTCTCCTCCACTGTGCTCCAACAACCTAGGTAACAGGTTTGTTGCTCCACTGAGTCACTAGCAGCACACAGCAAAGGTCACACCAGGTGTTGTTTGAAGCCTTCCTGAAGAGATTAAAGGAAATGAAAGCAGATAAGACAAACCAGTTCATTATTAACTAGGCTTAAAAGCAATCTTTTGGTTTGGAGCAGGACATGTTGGCATGAGATCCTACAAAACATCCTAAGTATGCCTTTTGGAAATGTTAGAGTGCATGTTTAATGGTAAATTCACTCAATGGTTTAACTACATTCAGTTCTATAACAGTAGACAGATTATAGCTGCGGGGCTGTTAACCAGCCTCAAAAGTGGCTTTGTTCTCATGTGATGTTTAGTGTATAGAAACATAAAGAAGGCAGTGTCCCATGAACTCAGGAAACTGTAAACGGAAATACAGATTTGCATGGATAACATTATCCTTAAAAAGGCAAGAAAACATCCATCTGCTGACCAAGATATACAATCACTGTGACCTAGCTGAAATTAATCTAAAGTCGGAATCAGTCAGACTGTATGTCCTTGTTTTCCCTCCCTGGCAGTTCACTTTAACGTCTAGCCAACCAAGAAAGACGAGACCAACAAGTTCCTGCCACTCAGCTGTCATACACACATCTCCTATGACTGAAAAGGTTAATGGATTAGACCATTTACAGAGTGGCCAAATTACAATGAGCAGTTGAACGGCTGCTGTTGACGTAAAACAACAGACGGTGTCTGCACGGCAGACAAAAACTTTCTAAACACATAATAATGTATACATTGTGAGCCATCAGAGACTTCGGCTTACTGTTAGTACTATAGATAATAGAAATCATATGCATTGGCGTCGTTAAGTACTTTTAAGTTGTCAAGCATTGAATAACCTGAATGAGCCAAGAACAAGCAGTCCTGTCTGTTTCTGTACTCAAATCGATTTTCAATCGATATTTGCAAAATGTATGACATCCCGTGATAAAAAAAGGGTTATTTGTATCCGTAAATAATGGCATTTTCATACGCCTTACAATGTCAGCGAAGACAATTAACAAAAAGTGCCTGCTTTAAAATAATAGTTTAGCAAGACAGAAAAACATTTGAATAAATAAATGATCTTTATGATTTCCTTCAGTAAAGAACATACATTGTGTCAAGGCTTCTCAAAAACAAACAACCTAGTGTTATTCGCCAGGACATATTCAATCTGCGTTATTATACTTTCACAGATGTGCAACATGTTTTTGGACAAAACATGTTATGGTATCAACTAAAAAAAGTTATGGCAAATGTTGCCTAATGTGGCATCATTTCTAGCACAACTACAGATAAACAAAAATAATGTTAAGCATATCAGTGGGACATTTTTAACATGAATTTGAACCTTATCTTTAGATCAAGAAGATGTACAAAATCTAGACCAATGTCTGACAGCAGTCTATATTAATCCTTTTATTTATTATCATCATAAGCTCCTTTATTAGGAGCAGTTTATATAACAATCATTTCCATTGAGTGTTTGGAGCTCTACATTTCTAACGGGTAAACACCCATGTTATGATGTGCTCCTTTTGCTAAGTGAGTCATTTAGGATTGGGGCACACAAACAACATGAAACAAACATTAAACCTGATTTGATTAGTTGTCCTCAGTTCAAAACATTACGTCTCCGCCAACTTTTCTCGATAAAGCAGATACAATCCTAGAATTTGTGATAACATAATGTTATCTAATTTGGCCCGGAAAGCTAATAAACATGAAAAGGAGCACTAAGCAGCACAATTGTGGATCCCCAGCCCTTCACGGATTGACACGTTTCAGCTACTATTCCCACAACCTCCAAAAATAGGAGGAAAAAGAAAGAGGGGAAAACTCAAGCCATTTCTTATTATATGGTTGTCTAGTCAGAGGGAAACTGGAAAAGCAGTTAAAAAAACGTCTGGCTTGAGGGAGACATGGCTTTTATGAGGCAGGAACAGAATTAGGGAACGGAGAAACTTCACAATAAAAGCCTGATTAAATCCTGTAGTGCTTTACTTCACCATCTCCATTACAATAGAGCACAGTGGTTTGGGGGCACTTCCTGGGGAGCCTAAATACTTTTAAACAACATAGTATAACTTGTGTTTACATTTGAATTAAAAGTAAACTAATTGAAACCCCAATGGGATTAGCTCAGGTCAAAGTCAGGGCATTTGTGAAAAGGGATAATTGTTTGTTCTGAAATCCCTAATTCATAATTAGGTATCAATATCAAACAGATAATACGACTTTTTGAGGCCCCGGGTGTGACTACACTGGAAAAAACGCTGCTCCAAAAACAAGTTAAAAAGTACTGAAAACGGGGTGTTTTCACTTGAAATAAGTAGAAAAGTGAAAATGTGCTTGATAAGATTTCTTGAAATAAGAAGGGATATCTAGATCAATCAGATCTTGTAATTAGCTTGGGAGAACTTATTTTGAACTATATTTTACCAGAATCAGGAACTGTTGTTACAAAATAAGCCGCAAATGGTCAAAAGTGTTCAGTTTTCTGATGTTAGTTGGTGATTTTCTAATAAATATGTAAAAAAAAAAGTGTTTTATCTGAGATACAACTCAAAATAAGATTATTTGAATTAAAGGTCCTGTGTCATGCTTTTCTGGTTACTACCCATCACCTTGTGTGTTATGTAGCTTTTTCTGCGTGTTAACGGTCTGCAGAGTCACAAACCCTCAAAGTACACCCTGTAGCGAGTAAAACTAACACAGAAAAGACCTGTCTATGCTGCCCCAGAACGACTCGTTGGAGATTTCTCTTTTTCTTCCTGGGTACAGTGACGTATTTGGGTATAGTGACGTAACGTCCGCGGAGCCGTTACGTTAAGTCTGTGGATTGGTTCAAATGGACCAATCCGCGGACTTCCTCACACACTAAATTTTTTCTCAGCTGCAGCTCTGCCGATTTCTCCGCCTGAGACGGCGGGACGCGGCGAGGCTGCGGGTGTGTGTGTGTGCTTGGGCTGTGTCTCGCTGTCTCGCAGACGGCCACTGGGCTCATAGGGAGGGCATGGTGCAGGAGCTCCAACAAGCCGTTTAGGACAGAGTGAATACACATACTATACAGAGATGCTGTACGAGAAACCAATGTGGGTTTGGAAAATTGCACAATATAAATCTATTTTAGTATACCTCAACAATGGAATTATGATCAGTAGAAATGGCCATGACATGGGACCTTTAAGAAGATGATGCATTGTCTAAAAACAAGACCCGATATCTCACTGCATTGTTACTTCCGAAGTTATTATGTCTTATATCAGGTGTAAAGACATATTCTGACTAGATATTAGACAAATATACTTGGCAAGATGTTTTGTTTTTGTAGTGTACTGCTGCTCTTTGGTCTTGGTACATCTGCCTGGGTTGAAGCTTGGCTGAAGAGAGCATTGTGTAATGTGGAAAATTGTGCTGCAGTGCTGGGAAGGCCACTCTAATTGAATTGTAGACAAGAGTTCATTGAGAAGTGCTTTGGCTCTTCTTCTAATGCAAGTAAACAACCATTTAAATGGGTCATGTCTCTTCAATAATTGGAAAACAGGAGGGAAGAAAAAGCAAGCAGCGGGTGGCCAGCATCTGAATGTAAACAATCTCTTTTTCAATGCCTGTCCAGTATTCAGGGCGAGTGAAACATGTTCATTTGCACAGCCTTTGAGCTAGGAGTTTACCATTCCTCCCCCCGTCGTGGCAAAGGGCCACCTTAACACGCAACAACATGCTCTAGTAAATCAAAACTAAAAGAACAACAACATGTCTTCCCACATTTACCTTGAAATTTAAAACAGCCTACCAACTAGTAGAATAAAAACAAGTTGCTTGTGGCAGTAGGGGATACATTTGAGATGGGCTCCTGGGCCCCCGGGTTGGTTTGGAGCTTATTAAAATGCATGAAAGGAAGGGCTTGCTGGATTTGCTGAGCCAAGGAAACACTTGTCTCTATTGTAGACCCAATTTAGACCGGGCCCACCTGAACTTAAGCCCTAGCTTGTTTGTTGACCTGCTGAGTACATAAAGCTTAAGGTTCACCAAAGACAGTCATCCATTGTATCCATACACCGCTTATGACTGTATAAAACTGTTGGTGAACATAAAACAATTGCTATGTCCTAATTCAATTAAAACTAGGTTTGAGTCTTGAAAGGGGCTAATTTGACACTTTAAAAAAAATCAGTTATAAACAAGTCACAAAAATAAAACAAGAAACCACATAACGTTACAATCACTGAAGACAATATATTCACTTCACTTGTGTACACTTGGGTTAATCTCCATATTTGATTTTATCATTTAAATCTGTAGGACTGCATCTTCATCAAATGGGTACAATTTGTATTCACTCTTCATGAAATGGTAGGTTTCACAGACAATGTTGTTGGCAAGACTTCAATAGGTATCTACGGTGGCTGACTCAAGGGGTTGTCATACAGATTTTCTTTTGGTGGAGCAGTTTTGACTTTTGTCAAAAGTGGTAGAGAGACCTTTGTATCCTGTAGTACTACAATTCTGTTGAACATTTATATTCACAGAATTAAAAGAACAAATTAAGAATGTGTCTACTTTCCACAAAAGACCTTAGGCGGGGGAAGAAAATACATTTCTTTGTTTTGTCCTTTGCAGACCGCAAACAACGCAAAGTATAACCAGTAGTGTAACTCAGTAGATGTACTCATAGTGTACTTAAGTCAAATTTTGAGGTACTTTACTTGTGTATTTATATTTTTCTGCTACTTTGTACTTCTACTTCACTACAATTCAGAGGTAAATTGTGTGCTTATATTGGTGTCGACTATAATCTTTAGTTACTCCTGGAGTAAAATTCACAAGCTACCCTGCAGCATACAAAGTTATTAAAACTATCTGCACCTTTAACAACACTTCAATGCATCAATAGTTATAATCAAAAAATATATCTTATTCTGAAATGGGTCGACCTGCATAATGAGTACTTTTGGTACTTTAAGTATACTTGTGTACTTTTACTTGAGTAGTATTTTTGAATGCAGGACTTTTACTTTTAAGTATGTATTTGTGAGTATTCCTACACTCTGTTACTTCTACTTTGTCTTAAGTACAAGAACTGAGTACTTCTCCCACCTCTACTCAAGTACCAGCTAAGTTTATGAAGGCCTTCTGCACAAGTTAACCCATAATAGCTCGTCGTGCTAGCTTATGGAAAAGCAGCCCGATCTTCACATAAACTAGTGGGCCAGGTAGCCGCATGGACTCCACCTGGCTCCAGCAATGTCCGCGCGACCACAGCCAGGACACAGGACAGAAGCAGCGCGTGAACCGAACGGTACCAGCCGCTGATTTGGAACGTTGTTTGAGTTCACCTGGAGCGTTCGGTACACGAAGCAGCACGAACCGTGTTAGCAGGAACAGCAACAAACACGGCTCATGTTAATGAGGAGACAAAACAACTCCTTTTAAACTGCAAGTATGGGAAATGACAACCCTTAGCGGGTGTTGTTTTCGATATCGAGTATGTAAATTTGATGTAAAGAGAAACACTGCAACCGAAACAAGCGCTTCGGCAGCCAACAGGAGGGGCAGAAACAGACCTGGTTGAGTTGGGACACAACAGACAGGATGAGACGGGGGAGGCTTCAGAGGCTTCACCTACTCCATCGTAGTTTTCCGTTTCCTTATCGTCTTACCTTTTAGCATTTCAGGCTGGACATGAATTAGGTGAAATGATGATGGCTGCTCTCTAACATCTCTCGCATCACGTGATAAAATGCTCCCAGCTGCTATGCTAGATTAGGACCTCCCTACAGACGGGCTGCTGCCCGAGCGAAGTCAGCTTCATGTTGGTATTGCAGTTTCTGCGGATGTGATTTTTTTTGGGTAGAAACTAAAACACATTTCAATTTCAATATAGCCATGTAACTTACTTACTTACTAATTGTAATTCTAAATCCTTAAACATTTGTATGGAAGTTCTCCAATATTTCCCAAAAGTATAAAGCAACCGCAGTATACAATACTGTTACAATTAGAATACAATATAAATATAATATAAATATAGAATGGAAACACGTCATAATCAATAATGCTATAATAAATACTAACGTTTTGGTTGTTATAAAAGCTAGTCAGACTTCAAAATGAAAGTATCCAAAACGAAAGGCTTTTCCAAATATTGTTAAATTATTGTTAAATGGTCATTTTACATTTATATTTATTTCAAAAGAAGGACAAACAAACACAATTTGGATATACAGCTTCAATTTAAAACATTTGTTGTAGCTACAAAAATAAATATCCAAATAAATACTGTAATATCAAATAATGATAATAAAACTACATAAGAATCACCTTTTGACAAAAAATAAAAACTTCACAATGCCTGTCCTTTTGTATATAAAATGCATATCTCTTTGTTGCACAAAAATATACATTGGTTGTAATTTGTGCACTGGACTAAAAATAAATACTTTTTCTGAATAAGAAAAATACTCACTAAATAGTCTCGTCCCAACATAAAACTAACTTTGTTCCAATGCATCCCGAGCACAGGATCCTTTTGATGTGTAACCTAAACTGCAAACTACACCGGGCCCACATGATGTCAGCATTGTCAGGTAGGACATCACACAGCCAATGTTCATTCACCTTAGATTTTAACAGTTAGGCAGTTCGTTTTTAATAGATTTTAATTAGTGAAACTGTAAAAAGCTGCTTTTGAGCCTTTACTTTGTCTCTGGTACTCTCTGGTGGGTGTTCTTAAACTGTGTGTCCTTGGTATCTTTATAATGGCTCATCTCAACATCTGTAATGCAGTGTACTTGTGTCTAAAATGCATTCCTGAAAAATAATGATCTGGTTATTATCTGTCCTAAGTGCATGTGATGTGTAATGGTGAACGGAAACATAATTGAACTATCACACACACACACACGCACACACACACACACACACACACACACACACACACACACACACACACACACACACACACACACACACACACACACACCATATGACCAACTTCAGCAGCTGTGATTATGTTACAGCACCAGTGAACACAATGAGGCACTTTGTTCTTGACCTTCAGGCCTTTCAGTACCCCGCTGACACTGTTTTAAAATAAAAGCTGAGTGTCATTAAGATGAGTGGAGATCCTTAACGTCAGTGTCTGCTGCTCAGGAAGTCAGAATCATACTCCAGTGACTGACACATTGACCCCAGGGGAATGTTAAGTATGGTGACTCGCGGGCCATGTGGACTGACAGCACGATGCTCCCCGCACACGACCCAGGGATCATGCAGTCACTTCTAATGTTTCAAGCACATATCTTCAGGAGCAGGAGCTCCTTTAACACACCAACGTCCATTCATAAAAGAGAATGAAAACAGGCACATCATTGTTGTTCCATTTTAGTGACCCCAGTTAGTGAATATAAAATAATATGTTGTGTAGCATGCTCCTCTAAATCTGCAGCCCTATGAGTTCAAACACACACAAGCACCACATTTCACCTGAGTGAGAGAAAGATTAGGAGAATGTTGCCATCTAGTGGATTGTTTGGAATACACAATTTAGCTTGAGCCTCACATTAGGTTATTAAATCAGTCAGCATAAAGCTCTACTTCATTCATTTATTACTCATCCAGGACCACTTGAAATTCCTTGCAGAATTTTAGCGACACGTGATGAGTGAAGTGCTAAGAGCTGCAAATATGAATGTTTGACTGTACAAACATTCTCCTCATCAATTCCTCTTAAACTTCTGTGTTTTTGCATTCATGCATTTTCCTGTTTGGCGTCTGATTTCTCTTTGACACAGACTGGAATTAAAAGGACATTTAAAATGACCTTATTTGTCCACTGTGTGAGGCGTCTGAAGGTAATATGGCTCATTTTACATCCTTGGTGGGGAACATAGCTCGGCGGCTTGAATTACCTTCCCCTCAGCTCATCTCCCAGTGAAAATCCCATTTTCCCATGCAGTGATTTTGCAATGTGCTGAGCTGGGTGATATCTCAGGGCCCCTCCACGGTGGAGGAGGGGTGTGCAGACATGCTTACTGCCTCCCTTTTAGAAACCATCATTTCAGCAGGATCGATAGTACGTCCCACTCCACGGCTGGCAGAGTGCACTGCCTCTATTGGGGGGGTTGGGGGTTATGTGTGGACAACTGCACCAAGTCCCAGCAGCACTAGCAGCCAAGGTGAATGATCGCATGCTGCGTCAGACACTCAGCTCCTCACTCTTCTGAGATGCAGTTTCTGAGGAGCACCAGTGGGAGGATGTTGTTCTCCAATGATGGTTGCAGGAAACACACTGATGAAGCCACATCAAGTAATATTGCTGTTAAGTACTTAATGTTCTCAGTTTTCCTCTGAGCTGACTTACAAATCTGCATTTGGATGAGTAAATATCTGCAACCAATGCAGTTTGCATAAAACCCTTTTTTTTAAATTATCCTACACCCCTTTGACTGTATTGGAGGTTGAGCACTAAAATAGATTCATGCTGTAGGTGACATCTCATATTTCATTAGATGGATTGCGATATAAGACCTGTGCACTCCAGTATTGTAAACCAGCGACGAGAATATTCTTTAGTTATTAGATTAGTACTGCGTATTAATAGTGAGGTTTAGAAAATCATTAGCTTCTGGAACTCTTTTTCTTTCTTAAATGTCATAAACTAATACAACAATTCCAGTCTTAGTTGCTTAGTACAAAAGGCAACACATTCAAATTTATTTTTTATCAAACTAACAGTCCAAATCCAAAATGTGTTACATTTTCAATACAAAAACATAATAAAATAAAACACTTTGAAAGTGACCTCAAAAATATACTATAAAATGAGTTTCTAATTCGATTGATTAACTAATAGTTTCAGCTATCTTTACACGTTTATTGACAAGCAGTTATGATCATTTATGAAATATGTACTAATTATTTGAAGTATTAAAAGGATAAATTGTGCAACTTAACACATATGAACATTTCTGTACATGTACATGTGATGTGCAGGATGTGTTTCCCTTCTCGTTTAGCTGAGTGTTCATGCGTCAGCAACTATGTATTTAGTGTGTGCTGTACTCGCGTGACTTTGTGAAGAGCGTTTGAAGGCTGGAGAAAGGAAAGGGTGTCAGTTAGAAGAGCTGCACCACTGCGGGACGGGGGCATGTGGATGGGACAGGATGTGTGGTGCAGTACGAGTATCCCCTCTGCTCAGATCGCTGCTCATTTGTCAAGTTGCCTGCAGACTTGAATGGTGCATTGCTGCTAAAACACAGAGAGGCAATCATCAGTGGAACAGCAGCACACCTCCAGGGAGGGGTCCCAGGTGGACCAGAGCCTCTGTGGGGGATCTGCAGAGGGGTCTGAAGGGGTCTTTTTCTACAGCATGCGCCACAAACTGAAGATTTCTACTGGCCTTAAAGAATTATTCTGTATTACAGGCATTTTATAATGAATACAAATAAGCAGCAGGACTCGCATATTCATAAAATTACGTCACTGAACATTTAATTTTTTTGTTTGCTTGCACTTTGCAGTCAGAAATAGACTAATTTAAACGGACTTAACGTCATCCCTGCATCCCCTTGATACTGCAGGGAAACAGAAATCCCAGAGTAAAGGAGAGCAGTTGTTTTTCACTTACACAATAAAACACTACTTTTCCAGTGTGGTTTCAATCATCCAACAGACTTTATTGTCATCAGTTTGGCTCTCTCAGACTCTGTCCTTGCATATTAGCAGCACTGAGATGGTCTCCATACTGGGACAAGCAGAGAAGCCGAGTGAGGTCACAGCGTTAATGGTGGCCTGGTTCTGCTGGTTGACGTGGTAGTAGACAGGCAGAGCTCATCCTGCGCATCAGAGCCCGAGACAGAGCCAGGAGGTGCCCGGCCCGTCGGTGCTGAGGGAGGGTGTAGGCCATCCTCAGCGCACACAGCTCGTCAGACAGCATCCACGACACGGGCCGGCCCTCCTCATCCGACACACAGAGGTTGGGCAGATGGCGGATACAGGCTCTCATGTGGTCCAGGCTCTCCTGGCTGCCTCCGTAAGGCAAGTGTGTGTCGACGAGCTCTGCGTGGGATTTCTCCAAGACGGAAATTGGCAGCGGCAATAAGTTCCTGCCAGGCAGAGAAAGTGTGAACAGAAGCTAAGAACACAAGGAAATGCATATCATATTTTCTGATCTGAGCTACGAATGTGAATACTTACTCTTGCAGATCCACATCCTCCGGGCTGTGGTGGATAAAGGAGTTATAACCTCCATGTTCTGTGATATCGAGCCCACTGAGAGAGGCCAGTTCTTTGATGAGAGGACAATGTGAGCTTGGGATACCTTTTAGAGATGCATGAGCAGAAGTGATGATTTGTTTTAATTTACCTGCATTGTCATGACTGCTGAGGCCACAATTTTTTTTTTTTTTCCAAAATACTTATCCGTTGCTAGGGCTACCTTTCCCCACACTTAAAGCTGTACACTACCCTATACCATGGAGCTCACTGGAATATATTGTTTGTAAAAAGATAGTCAGTGGTCTGCCGTAACTAAAAGAATGTAACTCATAGCAAAGACGCAAAACTGTTACAAGGACAATGACAGTGTATATAGTGTGAATCAATTGTAAAATCTGCTTAGTAAGGTCTGTTTTGGCGGCAATATTATTTCATACTATTATATTTCACTATTTAACACTACATTTGCACCCAAATGACATGTATACTCTAGCATTACTCGGGATGCAACTATGTAAAGGCA